CTAATAACTCTTTCTCTTTGTCACTCTTACCCTTCCTATCTCTATCTCTCTATTTCTTTTTCACATGCAATAGAAAAAAAATGTAAGTAAAAAAGAAAATAGAACATAGTTGAACGCTTTCTTACGCGTAAATCATAATTAACCTTAACCAACCTCTTTGATATAAGAGAAAAAAAAAGGAAGAAAGAAAAAAAGAGAGGCTTCCTCTTTTTAACTTGAACACCAAGGAGGTCGATCGTGTCGTATGCTGCTAAGAAGACGAAGCGATAATGTCTTTTTTGCGCTTTTTCCCTTCCTCCATCCTTTTACTCTAACTCCTCTCGTGCTCCTTTAATTGTTAACGCTTCGTGCGAGGGCGAGATCGATGCGATGTGGATAAAAGGGAGGAGGTGAGTAGGTGGAGTAGTGCTAAAGGGAAGGAGGTGGAATGACGGATGTAGGAGAAGGTGGGGATAAAGTTTGCACGAGAGAGAGAAAGAGAGAAAACGCTAAGGGTGCCAAGGGTTCGCAGTGCGCGCGCGTGCGACCAAGAGACGAAGAAGACGAAGAAAAAGAAAGAGAGAGAGAGGCACATAGCATATATATAGATATACTGAATATAGAAAAAGAATGAGAGAGGAAAAGATATACATATGTATATAACTAGAAAAGAAGATAAAGATAAATAGATAGATAGAAAAAAAGACAGACAGAGAGAAAATATATATGTGTTGTGTTGTGTGTGATAGACAAACGAATAGAAGATTAGAAAAAGAGAGAGAAAGAGATAGAGCGTGAGAGAAAAAGAAAAAGAGAAAGAGATAGAGATAGAAAAGACACAGATAATGTCAAAAAGTGATATATCTGTAGGAAAATCTCACAGATTCGGCAGGGTCGCGTGTACTTTGTATCGCGTACGAATGCGGCGAAGGTACTGGTTAGAGGTAGGCAAAAGCAAAGGAGCCGAGGCTCTGTCTGCTCGAAGCTGATCCTGCGTGTTAAACGAACCGCCCCCACTTATTCCGCTCCTCCCCTTTTCCAGCAGAAAGAGACACAGAGAAAGAGAGAAAGAGAAAGAAAGAACATACTTATACACACGAATACACATATATACGTAAAAGATAACACCCGAACACATCTAGTCAATGTTCCCTTTCTTCTTCTATCTTCCAACACCGCGAAAGAGGCGCTACCTTCGCGCGTTAACCATTTTCTACCCCCACCGTTGAAATCTATGTTTCTATCACTCTCTATCTCTCTCATTTACTCACTAACTCTCTTTCTTTCTCTCTCTCTCTCTCTCTCTCTCTTGGGCTTGCTTGCTTTTACTATACTATAACTTTAGCTTTTACTCTAACTCTAACTCTAACTCTAACTCTAACTCTAACTCTAACTCTAACTCTA